ATTCATCTTATCTTTTATTCAAACTAGTTCTTATCTCTACAACTTTCCTTCCTCTTTCTTCATCCTCGGGGAGTTATTGGGACAAAAAAACATTCAAAATTTCCAAAAATACTTTTCAGTGTGTTTCAGCAACCAAAAGTAAAACTTTAAACTCTGACCATTCTTCAAAAGTAAAACTCCTGATGCCACGAAACAAGATAATCCTTTATGAGGACGTTGTTTGTGTAAAACATTAACATTTATATTAACTATTGCTTATTTACTTAAAACAGAAACACACTGAGGCCATTTAGTGTGTCATCATCAAAATGTTTAATGAAACTGGACGTAATCTGTCATTTACATGTGTGTGTTTTCCTAAAATACGATGTACAGGACATGCATGAGGACAGCAGGACATGTATGAGGACAGCAGGACATGTATGAGGACAGCAGGACATGTATGAGGACAGTAGGACATGTATGAGGACAGCAGGACATGTATGAGGACAGCAGGACATGTATGAGGACAGCAGGACATGCATGAGGACAGCAGCAGGACATGTATGAGGACAGCAGGACATGTATGAGGACAGCAGGAATCCCTGTGGACTGTGATGTTTGCAGATGATGTGATCTGTGGTGAGAACAGGGAACAAGTGGAAGAGAACTTGGAGAGGTGGAGGTATGCACTTGAAAGAAGAGGAATGAAAGTCAGACGTAGTAAGACAGAGTCCATGTGTGTGAATGAGAGGGAGGAGGTGGAACAGTGAGGCTACGTCACAAAGGTGCAGGACTTCAAGGACTTGGGGTCCACTGTCCAGGGAAATGGAGAGTGTGGTAAAGAGGTGAAGAAGAGAGTCCAGGCAGGATGGAGAAAAGTTTCAGGAGTGATTTGTGACAAAAGGGTGTCAGCAAAGATCAAAGGAAAAGTTTACAAGACAATGGTGAGAGCAGCTATGTCGTCTGGTCTGGAGACAGAGACATGGACAAACAAGAGACAGAACTGGAAGTGGCAGAAATGAAGATGTTGAGGTTCTTCTTAGGAGAGACAAGGATGGAGAAGATCAGGAATGAGATCATCAGAGGTACAGCACAGGTTGAACAACTGGGAGATGAAGTTGGAGACGCCAGACTGAGATGGTTTGGACACATCCAGAGGAGGGACAGTGGTTTGGACACGTCCAGAGGAGGGACAGTGGTTTGGACATGTCCAGAGGAGAGACAGTGGTTTGGACACATCCAGAGGAGGGAGAGTGGGTATATTGGTAGAAGGATGTGTTGGATAAATAAAAATCCTTTCATCATCTTCTTACTCAAATAAGCCACTCTGAGGACATGGGAAGATTTTTAACTGGTCTTTTACTTGCAAGGGCAAAGGTCACAACAAGCCAAGTTGCATGTTTGTGTTACAACGAGAGATGAATGCGGGTCACGGTTCAATGCAGCTAGCTGTTGCTAACCGGTGGGTCTTGGGCCTCCTCTCGGACCCAGAACCCGCCTCCAGCCCACGCTGCTCCCCCCGGATCAGACCTCCTTCAGAAGCGGCAACTCACACTCTTTAATAAATCAAGGAAACGTGAATTCAGTTTTACCAACTGCATTAAAATCAAGGCAGGAACAGGTTACAGCGCTGACCTCTCCGGTCTACGATGTGAGAATCAGGAACCGGAAGGGCCGATGTCCCGTGGCATTACAGATTTATAGGCCCTAGACTCGTCCTTCGCAGAAGGGGAGCACAACCTGTCACGTGTATGAGGGGGAGTGACCAAGTGTGATCTCAACGGATCTTACGTGATTTAACGTGTAAAGAAAAATGAGACGGTGCTTCAAAAGCCTTTCTTCGTGATGTAGCAAACAAAATGAGTTCTATTCCTTGACGGATATTGAATCCCTGGGAGACTCTTTTCAGAGTTGCTGGCCCCGTTTAACCCAGTCAGAACCGAATTATAATTTCATTATAATCCCGTCTCTGAGTAGATCAGAAACTCAGGGTCAGTCTAGATAAATATCTAACACTTGATTCCCAGTCATGAATATCTGCACCGGACAGTGAGGCTTATCAGACAGAGGCAAGGTCAAGACAACGTCGGCTTTCCAGCCGACAGACTCGGAGGCGTCCTTGGAGTTATCAGGTGCAGGCTCCTCTCTGAGAGGAAAAACAACCCTCGAACTCACACGCATTAATTTAACACAAGTTAGTGACAAACATCCATAAACATTTACCAAAATTCCCTTGACAGGATGTTAGAAATGCAGCAGCCAGGAAAAAGACAAAGAGGAGACATATGGCTGCAGATAGAGAGGACATGGAGGTGGTTGGAGTGAAGACAGAGGACGCAGAGGACAGAGTGAGACGGAGGAGGAGGACTCGCTGTGGAGACTTCTGAAGAGGGAAAAAAGAATAAGATTTTCCTAAAACACAAAATTAAACTTTAAGAAAAGTGTGAAATAGACGTATTGTCTGTTTGGAGCATTGACTGACTAAACATTGGATCATGACGATATCCAAACTTTTAAAATTAAAATCTTTTACACATTTTTGTAAAAAAAATAATGTCAGAAACTTTTCTCAAGTTTTACCCCAAAAGACTGTTGTCAAAGTTTACACGTATGTGGTGTTTGTGTCGTTTTCTGTATTAAATATGGATAAATAATCAAATACAGACCTCAGAATCTTAAACAATTTAAAGAGGCTGATTTAAGACTTCAACAAAACGTGAATAAATTATTTATTTTAATTTAAATGTTAGTTTTGATTGACGTTGTTGTGAACAGGTACTTTCAGCGAGCTGTAGAAAGTTTAGATTTAATCTGTGACTCGGTAAAAGAGGAAACAGACGAGTCATCGCAGATTAAAAAGAAAAGAGACCGAGCAACAAGTTTTTATTCTGTTTATAAAAACAGAGACTGGAAAGCAGAAAATATACACACACACACGCACGTACACACGCACGTACACACGCACGTACACACGCACGTACAGCTTCCTGTACAAATGTTTCAAATTCAAATGAAAAAGTTTTTCTCCTCCGATGATGAGAAAATGAAAAGCGTCAGATGAAACAACTTCCTGTTCGTTTTTATTTTTGCTAACTCGGTCAAGAGATTGTTATCCGGCCATCAACTCATCAGGACAAAAACAAACAGTATGTTTTTATCAGTTATAAAATATAAATCCACTTTTACAAGTTGTTCTGCGATTAAGCAAAAGGGAAAAAGCAGCTCTGGATGAATAATGACACTTGTCGTTTTAAAGTCAGTGTTCAACTTCTCGCCTCATCGTCAGAAAATAACGATGCCTTTAGTTTTTACTAAATGTTGGCACAACCCTGGCTCATCCCTTGAGTTTAGGAGCCTTTTTAACACATGAAAGGTCCAAAGGTCAACGTTAGGTCACTTACATAACAAATAAACTTGTTTTGCTTCCTCTTATTATTCTGTTCCAATAAAAATAATCAGAATACATTCAGGTCTCTATTGCAAATGAGTTCCTGAGGCTCAATGTGATTAACTTGTATAAATGAACATTCAAGCACACAGAGATGCCGTTTTGTCCCGACAAATATGGACAAACAAATGGCTGCAAAGTTCAGCAGTGATCCTAAATAAAATAAAAAATAAATATAAAATATTTTTACATCGAAAATGGAAAAATTACATTTTCTATAAAAAGTACAGTGAATGCTGAGAGCTCTGAAAGTTTCTGAAGACACTGAAACTGCAAAAAAAAAAAGAGCCGAACTAAAAGAAGCAAAATGCTAGCTAAATGCAATAATGGACTAGCTACAAGCACTAAAAGTTTAGCTAGAAAGTAAAAGTAGAAAAGGATAGCTAAATGCCTCAAAAGGCTAGCTAGAAGTAACAAAATAAAGTTTAAAAGCAAAAAGTAGCAAACAACTCACTAAATAAGCAAAAAGACTAAAAGCCAAATTTAGCAAGTATTAGCTCAAAGCTAAAAGTAGCAGAATGCTAGCTAAAACTAAATGCAGCATAAGATAACATTGTTGCGAGAACCATATTTTTAACTTAAAAGAAGAGATCATAATGTGTATTTCAACTGGAAAATATTGAAAATTAAATAAATACTTTGAAAAGTATAAAGGTTTCAATCTGCTGAATGATCTGAATGTTTGTATATATAAACAGCTAAAATATCACCAAGTATGCAGAAGCTGATTGAGAAAACCATCACAGACATCTATACCTCCAGATGCAGGAAGAGGGCCACCTGCATCATGAAGGACCCCACTCACCCAGCACACGCACACTTTTTGCCCCGCTCCCCTCAGGAAGGAGGTTGAGGAGCATTAAGTGTAGAACCACTAGACTGAGGAACAGCTTCTACCCTGAGACTGTTAGACTCATGAATCTCTAACCAGGATAATCAGTGTGAAAAATCACATCATGCTGCTGATCTGTTTCATGTTGCTGCTGATCTGTTTCATGTTGATGTGTTCATGCGTGCTCATCTGCTCACACAGACTCATGTGCTGCTGTTTGACGTTATGTTTTTATGCTATTATGATTAGAGTATATTTAGTTTATGTATTTCTTAGTTCATATCTGAGACGTTATTACTGTTTTTCTTTTACATTTTATTCTTGGATGTAACTGGGACCCTGTGTACATAATGTCGTTCCACCACATGTACCACATGAGATACGATTGACAAATAAATCTCTTTGAATCTGAATCTCTAAAAACAAACAAACAAACCAAAAAAAATCACTGGAAAATATTAGAATGTTGAATCGCAATTTTAAAAAAAACAACATAAAAGTAAAACGTACAATAAAACGTGTAAAATTTTAAATTTACATAAAGTGTAATCATAAATAAAATGTGTAAATAAAAATACATTAGGCTGTTCGGACAGGTTTTTCTTTCCTTTTCGACACCGCACCAATATGGCGGCTGCGGGGGCGGAGTCAAGCTGTTGAATCCCAGAACTTCGTGACGTCACGACGTCCTGATTGGCGGAGCGGAACTGTGCGTGAAATAAGTGGAGCAGTGGAGCCGGTGAGGAGGTGCAGTGAAAGCGAGTACTCTCCGCGGACAGACGGCGCTGAAAACACGGTTAAAGTGAAAACCAGAGAACCAGTCAAGGATTAGGTCGGATTACTGTTGGACCCACGACCCGGGAACGTCCACAGCGCTGGTATTAAAGCGATAAATCGTCGTTAATCTCCCGCTCGGCGCAGTTTCAGCTCGTCGTTTCGTAGCTACCTGAGAAAGAGGACAGCCATGATTCGCCTCCTCTGCCTCGTGCTGGTTCTGTCCGCCTCCGTCTTCTCAGAGTCGGTAAGTCGGTCCACTTCAAGTTCTTAAAGCTCGCTTTGAACTCCAGGTCGGAGCTGCGGGGTGGTTGTCTTCCTGCGGGATTGGTTTGGCCGGAGGAGCGGGACTCGGAGCCGTCCACAGCCCGCTCCCATTATCCGGAGCGGGGCCCCGGTTAGGGGGCAGGCGGGCGGGCACTCCTCCAGGATCAGGCTTTTGACTCACTTTTACCCCTAAAACTCGTTTATTCACCCAGCATTGGGCCTAATCTGCCACTCTGACGGGTTCTTATTCGGATTAACTTTTTAACAAACAAGTTTTTAATGTTTAACCAGACCCCCCGCCTCCCCTCTGAGCCCAAACATTTGGGAAGAGTTAAACCACCACTTCCTGTAAACCCAAACGTTGACTTAATCTCTGAAGAATTTGTGTTCCGAGGGCCCAAGATTTCCTTGCTCCACGCAGGGAAACCAGAAATCCCAGTCCGAGCCACTCCTTTTCTGTTTAATGACACGGACTGTAAACCTTTAAAAATGATAAACAGTTTAAACTTTGCTGGAGGTTTGTCAGTTTTAACTAGGTTTATTCCAGGGCCGGGAGGTTAGGGCCTCTGGGTTAGAGATTATTTGGGTGCTAATCCAAGAGGTTTCAACAAACAAATCAACTGGGCTTTTGTTCTGTAGATAATTGAGATGCTCTATTTTAATTCACATTGGGGAAGCAAAAGTCCAGTTGCTTTAGTATTTTAACTTGTTGGCTCCTGGATTAGTGATGATCTACAGCGGCACATAATCCAAGAGCGCAAACTATCCTGATGATTTCTCAGAGAAGAAACGGATCATTCAGTCTGTGCTGAATTAATTTCAGATTATTTATATAGTGTCAAGTCCCAACAGAAGTTGTCTCATGTAACATTCACTAACATTATAAAAGTCAATTAGTGAAGTTCTTTCTAAGGAAGCAGCAGATTGTGTTGAATCTCCACTTCAGTCTCCCATCGTGAGCGAGCACAAAGGAGACAGTGGAAAGGAAAAACCCTTTTTAACAAGACAAAACCTCCAGCAGAACCAGGCTCAGGACGAGCGGCCTTCTGCTTCGATTGGCTGGCTTTGAGAGGACATGAAGTAGAAACACAAAATGACAGGTCCAGGTGTGGTTTCTATAGTCCAGGTGTGGTTTCTATAGGAGGAAAGACAAAAAAACATGTTAGAAATAATTACAAAAACAAACGGTTAGAGTAGAGCAAGTAAAGACAGCAGCAGAGAGAGGACATGTGGTCAGTGTGTCCTCCAGCAGTCTAAGCCTATAGCAGCAGAACCAAGGGATAGCTCAGGAAACCCAAGCCATCTCTTAACTATAAAATTTATCTAAAAGGAAAGATTTAAAACTAATCTTAAAGTAAACAATGCGTCAGCCTCATGGACAGAACCTGGAAGTTGGTTCCACAAGAGAGGAGCCTGAGAACTGAAAGATCTTCCTCCCATTCTGCTTTTGGAAACTCTAGGAGCCACGAGTAAACCTGCAGTCTGAGAGCGAAGTGCTCTGTTAGGAAAATATGGAGCAATAAGATCTGTATAAGATATTCAAGCCTCTTAAGTAAAATATTGTGATCAACTGTATCAAATCCAGCCAGTGCTGGATTTTCAAATCCGTCTATACTGGTCCAACAGGACCAGTGTAGACGGATTTGAAAATCTCAAAGATTTGACTTTAAATCTTCTTTGAACTATAGAAGCCGTTTCCATTTGTTTTTCATCCACATGCTTTAAAACACGCAACAATCAGATGTTTAACACAAATCTAAGACTTCTGCTGCAGCTGGTCCACACTTAAAAACTAGTTGCATAGTTCGACTAAAATAAAGCAAAGTTTTGTTTTGGCTGAAGTTGTTGTGGCTACATGAGCCATGCTGAAGGTTTTGGTGCAGGAGATCTTTTTTTTTTTTTTTGCTATAAATGAGTTTTGAGGCAAACCTTTGGATTGTGAGCTCTGCCAGGTTGAAGACTTTTATTGCTCAGAAGTGTAAACAGCTGATTGATCATGTGTTCAGTCATCCAGACTTTATTTGCAGGGTCAAACTTACTGGAAATGTTATTTTAGTCCATGTAAACTCCTCTTACAGTCAAGTCTTTGTTTTAAGAGTATTTTTGGTTCTCCTGGTAAACCACGGCCGGTGCTGGTATTTATATTTACGCTGAATGGTAATTTGGGGTGGTGCACGGTGGATAGCGGCGGTCTGGATGCCACCCACATGCAGCCGGCCCTCCTCCACCGGGTCGGCCCAGTTGCTCGGTACAGATGGTGTGATGGCAGGTCTCACAGCTGGCCTCACAGATGTGTGGTTTTACTCCTCAGTTGTGTAAAATCCTGCAGGTTTCTTGAGATAAATTTGTTTTTACAGTTTGTTTTACTCTTCAAAGTAACTTCACGCCACCACCCTTTTTTTTTCTCCGTCGTGCTGGAATGTGACCTCTGGTGATCTTGACCGGCCCTCTGGGGGATTTTGCACACTTGGAGGGATCTCAATAGGGCCCTGGGGCCCTTTCCATAGGGGGGGGGCTCCTTGTTAGGCCGGCCTGGTGTGGAGACACCTACAGCTTTCCCACCAAAACATTCATTTTTCTGTAAACCAGATCCAGGCTTCGCTCTCCTTTTCCCCGGCTCTCTCCTATGAGGAGCTCTGACACCCCCACCCCCCCAGCTCTGACCCACCCCTCGGCGGCAGCCCTTTTATCTCCTGCTGAGGCTGCCATTGGTATGTGGGTTCCCATCTAATCAATACCAATGTTCTCTACCTGACAAAAGAACATGCTCTGAATGCTTGAAAAGGGATTTTTGGAGCCGCAGGCACGATTGGAATGTTTTTATCTGCAGATTGGGTTCAGATCCGCCGCATTCCAGGAGAAGGCTTTGACCGGCCCGGCCTCTTGTTTTCAGCTTGTTCGGTGGAGACCGGGTCTGACGGTTCCTGGTTCATACTCCTCAACATCTGCCTTTTCTCCTCTTCTGTGAACACAAGTTGCAACAAGCCCTTAGTGGCTCAAGATGACGGCGGGAAAACACCGGAGTGTAAAACCTTTTTGTTTCTGGAAGAACTTCTTTCTTCATCTGAGACTAAATCACGACGGATTTTAACCAGACTGTGACTCATTCATGACCACACTTTCATCATAACGTGGTTTTAATGGTCAATAATAATAAAAAACGTGCTGAAGGTGGTTAATTGGGTTAAATAAATCCTCTCTGGGTCGGAGTTAATCCACCGAACCTCAGCTTGTTGAGTCCATTTTGTTTCAGCTTGTTTTGCATTTAACCCCCAAATCATTTGCAAGAGAATAAAACAGTTTTTTTATTTTTAGGAAGTGTTTTTGTCCCTGCTGCATGGCGGGGCGCTGTGAAAAGGAGGCAGCGTGATAAATAGTATGACCAGGATGTAATAATGGTTCCTGCTTTGCTGTCCGCTGGTCTATAAAATCCCTTTGGGCCGAGGAATGTTGGCTCGGAGAGAGGAGCTTTTTGTCCTTCCTGCTTGCGACTGAAAGCAGCTGAATCCGATCCCCCCACCCCCTCCACCCACTGCAAACTCTGGCAACGCCAACAGGAACTACTGGAGCGCAGTCGGGCCAGAAGTCGACCCGTAAAACCCTCGTATCACTTTCACCGGACTGCTTTTTATATTGGAGCCGCTCTGGAATCAAACGGAACAGAACCCGGTATCAGACGGCTTCGCCTCAGAGGCACCGAGCTGTTGCAACTTTGTGACCGTTAGCAAAATATCTCCTGATCCACTGGGTGGATTTTACTGAGACTTCCAGAGTGTAGTCATTGGACCTGATGTAAGATGGCCGCCAAAGCTAACAGACTTTAACAAGCACCGGCTGAAACTATAACTCGGAGTGGTAGTAGCTGAGGGTCAAACTTTTTAAAGAAAAGAAGGAAACGATCGTAAAGAATAAGACATTTGAACCAAGTTGCTTTTATAAGTTTTCAAAAGTTGAACTTTTTTTACGCTTTGAGGACAATAAGTAAGATTCAGGCTCTAGTTTGCTGTTAAAGTTTGTTTTTTAACGCTGCTGTTTTATTCGTTTAATCCCAAACAGAAATTGTGACAATTATTTTTGGGGTGTCCCAATTAGAGATGCACCAATTCGATACCAATACCGGTATCTGTACCGATATCGAAACGTCTATCGGTGTCAATGTGACCGATCCTGACTGGGCAGATCTATTCACTCTAACTCTGCTTTGTGCTCTGAGGGACGCCACGCGCTAACGAACTGACTGCACAAATAAAAGTTGTGTTTACATGTCTGACCGAGCTTGTGAAGCTCTTGGTGTGTTTAAATGTTCTGGTGCAGTTTTCAATAAATTTGTAATTCAGTACATTCATGTCTGCGTTTAACAAAAACAAAAGTTTTCAGTTAATTCAGCGCTGGGTTTGTAAACTCAAACATCCAGGTGGACAACAAAAATGGCTAAATCATGTCAGAAACGGGTCCAGATGACACGATTCAGCCATTTCTGTTAATTCAGCAGTTTTTCTGTATCTGATCGTATCAACCGATACTAAATTGCAGTATTGGATCGGAAGTGTAAAAAATGGATTGTGCATCCCTAGTCCCAATTCATCATTTTCTGTCCTTGCTGCCAGTCTGAGACATTTAAAGTCCAAAGGGGCTCAGTCCTCGTCCTGCGCGCTGAAGAAAATGAAGTTATTCAGAACTGGACACTTTTAGAAAGCAGGAAGTTTGTTTCTCCTGAAGCGTTTTTATTCCCAAACAATCATTAAACTGTTCAGTCCAACAACATTCTGGTGACACTTTGGTTCTGCTTGAATTGAGCTTTTTAATCCCGTATAAAAAGCAGGAAGTTGGACTTATTTAGTCTCTGACAGACAAGAAGACTCAGTCTTTTAAAGGCCCGGCAGCGGGCCGACCCGTCGTCCTGTTTGCTCTCAAACCCACCCGCAGAAATTCTGCTGGTTGAAAGTTTCCTCTCGGTGCCTGTGGGCGTTCGCTCCGACG